AAATTGAGAATGAAATGAATGGAAAGCTGAAACATGATGCCTCTATTTTAGCTATAATGGGCAGGGAATCACATGCTAAATAAGGCCTTTAGCAACATGATATTTCTGGCCAAATGATGGATATCATGACTTTCTGTTGTTACAAAAGGAAGCAATTTATTTAACTTCTTACTTTCCTCCCATTCTTTCTGCTTTATTAGCCTCATTTAATTTTCATAAATTATCCCACTAAAAAAGGAAATGATTAATTGAAGATTGCTTTCTTAAAAACATTATTTCTTGTCATCAACAGCTGCAACATATTTTAACATTGTTATTCAAGCATACTGTGGTGCTTTTAAAATAATTTTAATATTCAGTTGCTTTCTATTATTTTTAACTATTCAAACCCTGGAGAATTCATTATGTAAATTTTAAAACTTCACCCTTTTTTTGCTTACCCGTAGGTTCCATGATGAAAGATTAGATACAACACAGTTATTTTATGAGTGTGAAATATATTTTGATTTGTTTTGATTGTGGATGCTTTCTTCCTGGATAGTTATACCTTTATTAAAATAGCTCTCTGGAGTTGTGAGGAAATATGTATGCTCCTTTTCAATTCTTTTTATTTTCATTATGTGATATTTGGATTTTTTTTATTTTGGGTTTTTAAGTCATTTTCTGTTTCTCCCACATCTCGAATATCAACTTTGTAGCATTATTACATTAAATTTGTTGAAATGTCTCCATCCACCAGTAGTTGGAAGAAATATTTTATCACAGTCAAAGATATTATTTCTATGCTTTATGACTAAACTTTAAAGTAAGTCTTATGCATAATTGTTTTGTGGATGGTGGTTACCTGAGATTTCATTTTTTAAACCCAGTGCAGTTATCTGCTTTGAATTCATAACTATCTTTCGCCTGGAATTACCAGAGCACATATTATGGTGGACACAAGTGTAACAGTTGTTGCATGCAAAATTCCATGTTCTGTAAAGAGATATGCAAAAATGGTGTTTTACTAAGTATTGAGGCAGCAATATTTTATTTGATGGCTTGAGATAGTATGATTAATTTTGGAAAACATGACACAATTTGTTTCAGGCAAGGATACTCAATAAGAATTTTATGATGTCGGGGCTGGGAAGATGGCTCAGTGGTAGAGCGCTTGCCTTGCATGCCTGAGGCCCTGGGTTCGATTCCTCAGCACCACATAAGCAAAAAAGAAAAAAGCCGGAAGTGGCGGTGTGGCTCAAGTGGTAGAGTGCTAGCCTTGAGCTGAAGAGCTGAGGGACAGCGCCCAGGCCCAGAGTTCAGGCCCCATGATCGGACCCCCCCCCAAAAAAAAGAATTTTATGATGTGGATTAACAATTTAAACTCACAGAAAAGCCATGTCACGACTGTCACCCAACATGTGTATAACTATGACTGTGATTAGATGTTGTGCTAATCATTGATGTAGGTGACGGTAGAGTGATAGAATGATAGAGTAGATACGAGATAGCTAGATACTCCTGACTCATCCAATGAAAAGGAGAAATGGAACCATAAAGTGCATTTCTGAGCTTCGAATCCATTGTTTAAAGAGAACCTCAACGATTTCTTAAAATTAAACCAGAAAGAATGTCCCCCAATGGGGAACATCAAGAAATCACTTCAGTGCAATGGACAGCACTCTCCAAAATACTGTGTCATACACACAGTGCCTAAGCCATGGAGTTTGCTTAGCATTGGCTAAAGAGAACAAAATAATAGCCATTTTTCATTAACACACTGATCCTTAGCAACTCCTTTCAGGTCAACTGATTCAATTCAGGGGGTGATTTTAGATTACACTCACCCTGAAATGTAGGATTTCACCTCTTTCAGGTTATCTTTAATTAACAATACATCCTTGATTAAACTTTTTATTTGTATTGCATAATCATGGATTCAATATACAATAAGAAAAAGTACTTAGAGTACAGTACACTGTTATTTGCATGTTTAAAGTATGCTTTAACAAATAATTACATTGATGGTATATTTGAAAAAAAAAAAAGCAGAGACTTGGCATGTGAGAAGACATTGCTGAAAATAATTCCAACTGTGAATTTTTTTTAAAAGAACGAGGAGTGTTGGAAGGAAGCAGAGAGAAGAAAAAGGAGAGAGAGTGAGCCTTCTTTTATTATTTGGAAATTTTTTATTTAGAAGTTATTACAATTGATACAATATTATATTTGAACACCAAAATATGAGGTTGCTTGTCTAAGGCAACTTGAAATAAGTCCTGATTCTAAGTTCAAATATAAAGAATGTACAAATGTTTTGCTACACAGATATTAAAATGAACAGCTGAATCCAATGGAAATTTATTTTTTATGTTATGGCTGATGTCAGCAAATCCTAGCAAAACATAAAAGAGGAGAATCTTTAAGTAAAGAAATAAAAATAGTACCTCTGTGGGCTTACTACGATGCACAATTGTTATGACAGGCATGCAGCTTCACCGGCTACTAGCTAGAAGATATTTTTGTTTTTGCTTATAGAAAGGAGAGAAAGGAAGCGCACACTTAAGATAGAATGAGATCTTAATGTATTAGCAAGATTAATCCCCAAAGCAAATTAATTGACACCAAGCCAATGAACCAAATGAAGCAGCTGTAGTTACTTTGTTCATATAAGCAACAGTCTTAATGCCATTGTATTTCTCAAAGAAGATCATAAAGCATTAATACAATAAAATAAGTTTGTATAGATTCTTGTTTAAATCACTTATAACAGAATCAATTATAGAGATGTAGAAGATGAAATTTGTTTTAATGTAAGAAAATATTCTGTAAGAAAATGATTTTTTTTCATTACTCTGGGAAAGGTTTGCTATCATTGAAAAAAGTTTTAAAGAGAAAATTAAAAACAGAACAGGTTTTCCCTCTCAGAAATGTTTGGCTTAATTGGAAAGAAGCTCAAACTGTGGATTTTGAAAACAGTGCACTCACTTTTACTGAAGGCCTCCTCTTTCTCACTATTTAAGGTACATGCTCTTTTTAGCCATATGTCTTGATGGATTTCAACAGATTTCTCTTTGAGAGAACTAACTTATGTGATAGCAATTTAAACAGGTCAGATGGAAGACAAGTCAGTTATTACAATAAATTTCAAGATAAGGAAGACAGGCTTACAGACATGGCTCCTGAGAGAGAAGAAGTTTGACTATTTCTGAATCTACTAGAGTTATCTCTGGTAACTAATGTTAAATACATTTTTAGAGAGACTAAATGAAAGGTGTATTACTAAGAAGAAAATCATTTCTTGTTCAGACAAATGAATATTATGTAAGAAATTTAAGAAAAATGTTGTCCATGTAAATAGTATGGATGACAGGACATTTTAATTATTATTCTAATGATTATATCTAATTATTCTAATTATTCATGGTATTTCCTAAACCAGAGAAGACTTTCCAGACACTGTTGGACACGGTTACCCAATTCACCTGGGAATAGTTGTCTTGCAAATGAACACAACAGCATGCAGTGTATTTATTCAAGTTAAGACACAGTAAGACTTTCAGAGGGGTCGTCATTGTAGATGATATATGTATCCAATATTTTTTTAATGTGACTTAAGATCAGTATAACATTGCAATTTCTTTGCATTGCATTTTTCCTATTTCCATGGGATTTATCTTTTCAATAAGAAGAAAGAGCTAATTCCCAATATTAGCCATTTTATTCTATACCCAGGGCAACTTAAAAGCAGCCTCTGAAGTTGACATTCCTGGAGATAACAAAGGGTGATCTGGGGAAAGCAACCGCAGCAGGTGAGAGTTAGGAGATGAGGGCTAGAACTGGATAGAGGCAGCCTTTTGGAAGGCTCTAAACCTACTGATAGCAAATCCTATGGGTCCTGCTAGACATAAACATTAAGGTTATCAAGATAAGAGTAAAACTGTCACAGTGATGCCAAGAAAATGGTGGGGATACATTATTTAAATTAAAAACCTAGCTAGAGTTTGAAATAGAGAATAAACTTTTTTTATCTGTCTACACTGTCAGTTTTCTATGTATGTGAAATCAATTTATTATCTTCTAAACTAATTTAATGAGTTCCAGATTGTACAAGATGTCATAATGGAAACAAGATTACAGAACATAATGTGGAGTTATGTTCTCCAAAAGAGCTTTACCTAGATTCCCTGTGTCTTACTTTTGATCTGAGCTCTGTTTCACTTACCACATTGTAAGAGGTTACATCAAGGGTAAAATAATAGAAAGTTAATCAGGAAACACATTTTGGTGTTGCTGCGTTTTATTACATATCAGAGAATATTTGATGGCCTGATTTCTGAAAATAATAAAAGATGTGTCCTTTTCAAATAAAAACAATTGAAACCACATTGCATGATAATTATGCATCATTCTTCCAAGCGATCTCAAACAATTTGCACCAATCAACCTTCAGGGGAAAAAAAGTTGTGAATTATTGAGAGGTTACTGGTGGGAAGGATAAGCTTCCCGATCTTTCTTTTCTATAAAATACTAGATAAATATTATTGATTTATAAATTTAATTTCACAGATGAAGAACAAAAACACAGAAGCAAATTCATTTTTCAGAAACAGGTCCTTCTTTTCCAAAGTCCAGTCCCAAACCTTTTCTTCTTGAGAATAAGCAAACTACACACTGGCCCCATTATTCTGAGCATAGAGCTTGGGCTAAAAATAATCTATTAAGACTAGGTTCGTGGTGTAGAGATCCGTAGTCATAATATACACATTACTGATTTTGTTAGTGTAATGCTATTTACTGGTAAACAAAACTCTGCATATGCTTTCTATCTACAGTTTATTCTCTTTAGGTAGGCATTTGGGATCTGAAAGCTTATGTTTTTGACATTTCTGCCATCTTCAGTCAATTTGAAAACAACTTCCAATTTTGAAATAACTTATCTCTGGCATTTCCATATAAATATTTTGGAGGGTTAAGATAACTTCGCTGACATTTCTTCATTTCATTTTCTCGTCACTGTCCAGATAATCACCATGGCCACAGCCTGGAGGAGAGAATCATCTATGGAGTAGAGAATAGTAGCACATTCTTGGAATGCAGTCCAAAGTCTCAGCGAGCTCTGGTTTACTGGCAATTCCAGAGGCGAGATGAAGAAAGAAAAGAAGAGGTACTGGCCTATAATTCAGTCTGTTATTCCAGTGTAACCTATACTGTTAAGTTACCCTAGTATTGTTGCCTTGAAGGCAAGAAAACTACTAAAAACTCTTATCTTTATTCTTAACCAATCAATAACATATTGGTTGCAAAAATATTTTCTATGGACTGATTACATGAAAGATATGTGGAGGAGTTAGAGAAACAAATTTGACCTGGTGAGAGTTTCTGCTTCCCAAGCAGTTTGGGAATACAATGTGGAGTCTCCTTATCTCTTAGTATACTTATTTAGTATACTTATTTCTTAGCAGTCATATAGACAAAGCAATTATTTTTAACTCTATTTCTGCATTTTAAAAATGGAATCTGTCCACTAATTTTAACTTTCCTTCAATTAAAAATTATATTCTAAATTATTTTCCTTACCCACAACTTATTCCTCAAATGGAAGAATATGTCTTAGATTTAGGATAAATCAGTTGAGGTCCCAGTAGTTCAATCAACGCAGACATTTCTCTACTACAGGTATAGCTTTCTCTCAGAAGTAAGCAAGTGCATATCAAAATTACCAGTGTGAGAGCTTCAAGTCTTTAACACCATTTTAAAGGCATTAAATAAGCTGGGTGGTGTGGCTCAAGACTGTAATTCTAGCTACTTGAGAGGCAGAAATTAAGAGATCTCAGATTGAGACCAGACTGGGCAAAAAGAACTCTTCAAAACTCCATCTAAGCCAGCGATTGGGCACAATTAGTTCAGCTAGAGAGAAATGATCACAGCTGGTAGCAGTGACCAACAGATCTACCAACAGATCTAAAGTTCGAAAAACCAACTTTACAATTTAGGCGCGTGGTAGCTGAAGAGGTGAGAGGGAAGGGATAGTAGGGGAAAACAAAGGAAGAGGCAACAATGCTGGATAAGAAATGTACTCATTACCTTGCTCATGTAACTGTAACCTCTTTGTACAGTACTTTCACAATAAAAAAAACTTAATGTAAAAAAAAAAAGAAAAGAAATATTGGTACCTGCTAAAATTTTGCCTGAGTCAATCTAAAATTTTACTGGCGTAGAGTTTCAGACTGTATATTTCCATCAAGAATGTGTCTTTTACAATATTTTTTTTCTATTAGATCAGAGTGGATGATCATATCATCAGGACAGAACAAGGACTCCTACTACGCAGTCTGCAGAGGAAAGATTCGGGCAAATACTTGTGCCATGCAGTGGAGCATGGGTTCATGCAAACACTTCTTAAAGTGACCCTGGAGGTCATTGACACAGAACATTTGGAAGAACTTCTTCATAGAGATGATGATGGAGATAGCTCTAAGACCAAAGAATTGTCCAACAGCATGACACCCAGCCAAAAGATCTGGTACAGAGACTTCATGCAGCTCATCAACCACCCCAACCTGAACACCATGGATGAGTTTTGTGAACAAGTTTGGAAAAGGGACCGAAAACAACGTCGGCAGAGGCCAGGACATTCTCAAGGGAGCAGTAACAAATGGAAGCACTTGCAAGAAAATAAGAAAGGTAGAAACAGGAGGACCCACGAATTTGAGAGGGCCCCCAGGAGTGTCTAAGAAGCATTACCCTTGGAAACCTCAAACAAGTCGAAACCTTGCCTAGACAATAACTGGAAATAAAATGCAATATACGTGAACTTTTTTTCATGGCATTATGTGGATGTTTACAATGGTGGGAAATTCAGCGGAGTTCCACCACTTATAAATTAAGTCCATGAGTTACTTTCCTACCAAGCTTTCTCCTTAATTCCAACACCTAATAGAGAACACAGGTGAGCTTGAAAGTTTGTTTCAGCAGACTTCATGTTTTCCTGGGAGATTTCATTGTACAGGTTTCATGTTCTTCTTTGCCTGAGAAATAAAAATGACATTTGCCATATTGACATGAAAAAAAAAAAAAACTGCATCAGCAAAGCCATTTTATTGAACTAGAATTTCAAAATAAACTGCATGGATTTACTAACTGATGAATATTCCCAAATGTGATTGGATTCAAGGATATTTTTGTCTACCAGCACTCGTGTTTGTATGTACTGGAGGGGTAACATAAGTAAAACGATACTGAATGAAATGGTCTGTGGAAATATTTTAAAAAAGGCATAAACCATCCATCATGCAGAAGAAAAAATGGAATACACTGATCTACTACTGATGTCTTCTTTCAGCTTTGACCTAAAGATGTATTTTATTAAAACCATAATTTAAATGTACCATGACAAATATGCAGTAAAAAATAGTTGTTTTCTAAGCTAGAGTAGGTTTCTTACAGTTATCGTGCTATATAGTTTGTTTTAAAAATTCCAATTGTGTGCTGCTTTTTTCCACTTTTGTTTTCAATTCTGTAGGTGAGATAACTGATATTTCTCTAGAGACATGTCTACATTATTAATTGTTAATTCTCAAATAAAGATATGAATTATACTTTAGTTCTCTGAGGAAATCAAAGAAAAAGAAGCTGTTCACAACTCCCCTTCTTCAAGTATTATCTAAGTTAATTCTAGCATGTGTAATGTTCTTAGAAAACCAGAAAATTAAGACAACATAAAAGGAAAGAAAAATCAGTTTATTAAATACATTTTATGACATTCAGTGGATAAATGAAAAGAAAGTTTCATCAGAGTTATAAGCACTGTCTTTGTATAGTATTAACAGAAAACATCTCTTAATTCTGTGCTTGAAATCACACATGGTGGTTTGAGACATAAGACCTCTGTAATAATTTCAATAGAAATTATTTCAGTCAATATTTGATTTTGGAAATAAGAGAGGAATCAAACCTATGCAGAACAACATTATAAAATCATATTCCCCAACTGTTCCTTTCTGAGTCAGCTGCTTCTTATCTAACTTTGTTTGAACAAATTATACACACACACACAAACACACACACACACTCACATGCACACACATATATAAAGGTTATATGACTCTTCACATAAACAGGAGTGACATTTACACAAACTATTTTCCAGGACATAACCCACATTTAGAAAATGTAAACTTCTTTTCCTTTTTCCATAATAATTTAGAAAATAAAATAAAGCTTTTTAAATTAAGAATCTCTTTGTTATCTGAAGATGATTCCTTGAGAATAATTGACATCAAGATAACTATGATTTTCAGCATAATCCATTTTGTGCTCCGTGTTCACACTTCAGATATTCCTACCTACGTCTTCACCAAGCACAAAAATGAAAATATACTATTGCTAATGAATGAAGTGACATTGAAATTTTAACTGTGGTGTCTTGGGATTTTAATTAGCTCAGCATTAATTTCTCACCTCAGAACATATTGAATTGTTATTCCCTCTCAGTTAAAATGTTTCACAGATGGGAGTTCATGTTTCAGTTTTAATGACTATTCAAATAAACAATTTGTTGACATTTATTTCAAATAAAAATCTTAAAAATTCATCAGATTTTAGGTTCAATTGACTAATCAGGGTATTGCTTTAGGAAGTGTGTCCTCAAATGAAAGATGAATTTTAAATTGTTTGAAGAACACACACCTATACATAAAATAGTGCTTGAAATATAAATCAAAGAACAGAATGCTTCAAATATAGGGCCTACTTTTATTTTGGTATATTTGTCTTAACGATACTAAAATTCAGTGTTGTATTTCATTCTAAGCTAATTTCATTCCAAACAAATTTGTTTGTAATAGAAATATCTTATTTCTTCTGGTCCTTAACAATGAAGGATTTGCAGGGAGAGAGATTGTATGACACCCTCGTGGAAGCCTTCCAAAATCTAAATGCATTTTGTTTAACATTATGGAATATCAATAGAAAAAATATCCTTCAATTAAAAGTATCAGAAACAAACAAATCTACTAGCATGTCCTTATAAACCATGAGGTCCACATTTTTAAAGAAAATTATAGAAGTAACTTACAAACAAATAATTCCCATTACCATCATAATCTTCTGCCAATATGTATTGAGAGAGGGTAGTTTGCACGAAAAAGAACTAGTGTCCCATTAAATAATTCAGTTTTCATAGACTTTGGCATATGCATGTAAAATCAGAACTTGGCTAAGAGACTCAAGAAGTGAGTCTTGGGCAGTTTATAACAGCCATCTTCATGTATGAAAACGGTGTATCACAACTGAGGAATTGCTATGCCCCTTTGAAATCAAATGTAAAATGTTAACGCATGCAAATGCACACACTTTATGCTTATTTTTTGTATGATTTAGTGACTTTTAATGGTATGTGCTTAATACATTTGCTACCTACACATTAGGCAAAAGAAATGTAAATAATTTTGAAAAGAAGAACAGTGTAAAATACAAGTCTCTCTAAACACTCCATTTTAGTGTATTGAATCTTATTTTAAATGCAAGATTTGCCCACACAGGGGACAAAAGTGGCTTCTGTACTATTTAGGGGCAGAAGATATGTGCCTATTCAGTAAGCATGCTTCTTGCCAGGTAGCAAGTATGTTCCATATCTGTATCTGTCACTGCCTTTCAGATGGGAACGAGAAAACTGAAGAGAAATGTAATGAAACTGCTGCTGTAAATTATTCCTTCTAGCATGTATTCACTTGCTAAATACACATTTCTTCAAAATATTTGAATTCAGATGTCTTTACTGTTCCCTGTACCATATGGTGTTAAGGAACATAAGCTTAGACAAATTTGGGAAGCACAGTCAGGTTGCTGCATAATTAGATAGCAGATTTCTTCATTGTAGTCATCTGTATACTGGATTCTATATTTATGGTAATGATGTGAATTTTATGCCCTTTAAATTAAATATTGCTTGCTTTATGTCATACCAGAAAAGAAAATATGGAGATGAAGCTTTATAGTGTTATCATTATAACAAACAGTTTGCTTTCATTCAGGAGCTATAAAAATGCTAGATGACTAGCACAGGGAAGCTTTTACTAATATGGAGTCACTGCTATAACTTTATTTAAAGAATTCTATATCTTATGAATTCATTTTTTACATAATTTCAATTTAATAGAAATCTGTTCATTTTCAAATCTATTATATTTCAATTTAACAGAAATATACCATGGTTTCAAAAACAAACTTAACAAATTGAATTTAACATCACCTCATTGTATGATAAAATGTTATCAATAAGCTGTCCTAATGCCAATGGCACCCATGGTTTTACTTTAACCTTCTCCAAAACAGTTATTTCAAAGTCGATGTTAATATTTGCAAAAAAATGTTTTCATACAGAAGAAAACATTAATCTATTCATAATCTACTTAATTCATTGCTGCATGATTACTTTATTAATGATACTGTATTTTATTAATAAAATTATTGATTGATTAATTGCTGTATTAATTAAGATAACTCTAATGAGCTAGACAATAAAACTGCCATACATAGTAAGGGCAATTCCACTACCAGCCTAACCAAAGAAAATATTCATTTCCAACATGCAGATGCACACAGCTAGAGGCAAAAGTATCAAATAGTACCCAATCATACAAGAAAATAATGATTCTGAATGTAAAAACTCAAGCATCTATGCGTTATATCCTGTATAAGCAGATGCATACCTGTTGAGTTTTACAGATCTTGATGATTATGTCAAGATCAAACAATTGCTAAGATTGCTAAGCGACAAGGATGCTGAAATGTATAAGTCATATTTCCTGCTCTCAAAGAGCTCACCTTGAAATAGAAGAAATAGTGACATGATTTATCATTATTATGCATGGCAAATCTTTCCTGATTTGACTAGCCCTGGAAAACAATAGCCACATTTTCTGTGCTGAATCTGTGCCATATATTTTCTTTTTTTTATTTCAATTGTGGTGATGTGGTTTGTTTATTTCCCTATATCTCTCTTCCTAGACTATAAGCTTCATGAGGATAGTTTCTGTCCAATTTGTTTCTGCCCCCAAGGCCTAGCATGACAAGCACAGAAAAGGAACACAATAAATCATGGTTGAAAAGAGCCATTTTGCAATTTAGTAAGTGCCAAGTTGGAATTCAGAGAAAATACTGCAGGTTCAAAAAGAAGAGAATTAATGAGTGTAGAGAGATCATGGAATGCTTCAGCGGGGAAAGTGACATGTGAGTTATGATTTACCCATCCACACCATTTTGTCATGAAGATACAAAGAGAAACATAATTTGGGTGGAGGAAATAAAAAGAAAGGAGGACAGGTGTGAATTTTACTTGCGCCCCTACCCCAACAAGTATTCCAAATAAGTAGAACACAGTGTTTAAAGAAGTCACATTGCTTTGAGTAACTTATTTGTTTCCTTTATCCCAAAGTTTTAATTATTGCACTCTATTTTCTCATCCTGTTCACAAGGCCATATGTCAACATTCTACCTCCTACTCACACCCCACTCCCTCCCCTCTCATCTTCCTTCCTATTGTTGACTTTATTTATTTTTACTCACTTGAAGCAACAGGATTGAGCAGTATTCCTATAACTATCTTCAAAGTTATCTTTCTGGTAAAATGTTTTCTCTAGCTTAACCTACAATGCTTCATCTATAATTGATCCCACAAATGAGTAGTTGGGAAACTAACTTAGTTGGTTGATCCCTTTGTATTCCCAGTTCAAATGAAAGTTTCATTTATAGTTCACTTGTCCCCAATATGACCTCACTCATATAATTTTAGAATATTTAGCATTGGATTCTAGTATCACATTGTTCATTATCAATGTGGCTTCCAAAATCATCCAGTTAAACTATGAGACCTATTTAGTTCAAGGCTGAATTTGTATGGATAATCAGAGCTGAACAATTTTACAGGTAAGATTATCCCATATGATTAAAAGTCAAACTTACTTTTTTAATGGGAGAAGAGAGACCATGGAGGAGAAAGAGGGGAAAGAGAGAAGAGAATAAAAGAGGAAAAAACAAAATAGAGGAAGGAAGGAAGGAAGGAAGGAAGGAAGGAAGGAAGGAAGGAAGGAAGGAAGGAAGGAAGGAAGGAAGGAAGGAAGGAAGGAAGGAAAGAAGGAAAGAGAATGAAAGGGAAGGGAAGGGAAAGGAAGGAAAGAAGGAAGGAATGGAAGGGAAGGCATGAGGGAAGGAAGGAGGGAAGGAGGAAGGGAAGAAGGGGTGAGGAAAAGAGGGAAGGAAAGGGAAGCAAGGAAGGAAGGAAGGAAAAGAAAGAGAAGGGAAGGGAAGGAAGGAGGAAAGGAGGAAGGGAAAGAGGAAGGGAAAGAGGGTGGAGGGAAGGGAGAAGGAAGAGAAGAAGGAAGGAAGGAAGGAAGGAAGGAAGGAAGGAAGGAAGGAAGGAAAGGAGAGAGAGAATTATATAAAAAAGGAAACACAAAAGTAAAGAAAGAAATCTGAAAAAGAAAAATGATACCAAGCTTCTTCCTGAATCTGTCAATCCCTTACCAATAATGCATTAAGGCTTTAGTTTTTTCTTATATAGTTAAAGAATGTATTTTATTTCTTTTAATCTAAACATTATATTTATGGATACAATGTTTATTTATATTATACTTTAGCCAAAGTTCTACGAAATGTGTTCAAGTCATCACAGCTTGGCTAATTTTGAAGTCTCAATTACCTCTACTTTGTAAGGACTCTAGAGTATTAGACCACAAGTAAATGCATCTTAATCCATGTTGTTTGTGTAGCCTTGTTCTTAATGTTTTGTTTCGTCGATAGCTAAGTCTAGGGAAATTTAAAGTTTTTTTAAAAAACTTTGAATCTACAATCAAACATCTTTCCACTTTAGAGTTCTTGTTTTGGTTTGTCTTTTTAAAGGAACTTCAGTTTTCAGAAAAGCTTGTATCCTTACATTTCAAATAAGAGTGGCCTTTCTAATACTCCTCAAATACTTTTGTTTTGCTCATTCAGTGTTTTAAATTGTGGCTAATTATGAACCATTTAATTTAAAGTCTAGTTCTCTACATGGCTTTCAATAAATTTCACTTGAATTGAGCTACTGACTAAGCTTTGTGCATCTGTCTATGACCTTTACATCTACCAATTTCACAATTGTTGCTCAATCTCCTCTTCACATTACTTTGATCCCATGAGCATGTCAGATGACATTATTTATATTTTATTTGGTTTGAGATAATTATTACCCAATAAATATTAAATAGGACCAGAAAAAATATCCAGTATCCACATGAGAGTTACTGTTACTGAATTGATGGAATCTTTACAAATATGAGATTATTTACTTGAGAGCATGAGAATATGCTATCCTAGGATTGCTTTATTTTTATCATACACTGTCTACTCATTAACTTTAGAAATATACTATTAATGAATTTTCTCCTTGAGTTTCCTAACCCTTAAAAAAACTAAAAACATACAAGTACCTTAGAGGACCAAAGTTCTCATTATTCAGACTAATATATTGACTTCTCTTCTGTGGAAACTGGAATATGATTTGCAATTGTTTCCATTCTAGTCCCTTCTAAACTCTTGTCATTAAATATTGTTGTTGTTGTTTTAATTATATCATAAAGGTCTATATTCATTACCGATAAGTATCTATATTGTATCTACATGTCTTATAAAATTATGCACTTGGTAATAAATATCAATGTTTAGCGCAGAAATTATAACATATTGCAATGTATCATAAATTAATATTGAAATGTTAAATAAAATCAACGTAAATCTTTATAGACAAATATTACTATGCATAGTACTAAATTATACTCTTGTGATAGTAATATAAGAAAATGTTATCTATGGTAATCAAGATGAGTCTCCTGGCAACCTGACAGCTCTCATACAAAGTAAGGAAATTTAATTACCTAAAGTTTATATACTAAAATTTAGCATGCATCTTATCACAGATTTGACATTTTGAAAATATTTGAATTCCCTTTTATCATTATGTCACACACATAGGACAATAATCTATCAAGTTTTTAAATAAATGACCATGGTAGTAGTATTATTTAGCTTATAATACACCCAAAACAATTTATATTCAAGTACAATAGTTTCCTGATATACTTGAATATGAAGAATCAGTATACTTAGCCAAGAGTTCCATTAAAATGTAGCAAGAAGAAAAGAAAGGTTTGAATTGAAACAAAATAAATGATTAGGTTCCAAACTAAGAAAGAATCTATAATCATATATACTTATACGTAATATACTTTTAAAGTGGAAATATTTTATTGGTAAATGTATCCATTTTAATAATACTTTGAAATATTGCTTTTACGAGAAACATATTTAGTTTAAAAGTTCTGCATATAAAATATGTCACATAAACAACTTTTTTTACTTTTCAAAACTACTTTTATCTTTAAGTATTAGTTGTACAAAGGAGTTGCCATTCAACAAAGCAGTTAATGAATGTAGTGCATCTTGATCAATGTCTCCACTTCCCACATTTTCACTCCATCCTCCCAACCCAACCCTTCCCTCACTATTCTTAATTTTCTGGACATGAATTGAATTTTTTTTTGCCATTTAACAAGGAAGTGTATGTATACAATGCACCTTGATCTGTGTCATGCCTTCAACATTTTCAATCCCTTTTGACTCATCCTTCCCCTATTTTTTCCAAATTTTGTGGTATACACATGACTTCTTGGCTGCATTCTCCGACTACCCCATTTATATTTTTTAACATTCTTGTATTTTAAGACTACATATGTGACTAGAACAACTTTATAAATACTTTCATTGATAATTTCTTAGCTATAGTGGTTATCAACATCTTCTGTCAATATGTGCCAGAAAGAAATCTTATGCTGGTTCTTCAAATTAAAGATTACACCCATACGTTTGTATTCAGCCCCAGTATATGAAACTTCCAATTGTTGCTTAATACATGTCTAAGTAATTTAAATTAAAAGCATTGAAGAAGTATAATAAGAAATTAAAAATTGTAATGAGGACTTGATTTTCTCAAAACAAGTCCTCCAGTGTACCATTGTTTTGTAAAGTTTCCTGATCTCTTATAACACAGTAGTCTTTGGTTCATGGACCAGGCTGTCAGAAGTGAAGTACAATAACCACAATTTACTTTAGAATTAAACGTCAGGTCAACTTCCACTTAAAAACTGCACTTCAGAAAATAAATTTGTTCACAAGGGTATATGAGTTCTTTCTAAATTTATCTTAATATCTAAAATTTGTTGTTAGATATACATTAGAATTTTCAGCCACATGTGGTTATCTTTTCTTACCAGCTGTACTGTTATATCATTTTACCATAGCCTATTATATTCAATAATATAACATTTAATTTAACTATTTTTTTTAAAAAAAAACACATCAACATAGTACTTTCTGTATAGTTCAATATCTTTTTTTAAAATGGTACTGAGTATTGAACCCAGAGCATGTATATGCTAGGCAAGCACTTT